GACTTAACTGGTACCGATGTCACTGCCATATATGGGGTTCTACTTCTCGCACTGTGTGAACCTGGTACAGGTCTGGTTTCCACAGAAGCTGAGACGCATTGGCAAAGAAGCCTTTTTTGCTTGCTCCTCGCTTCAAGAAGTCCATACCCCACCGGCTGCTATATATTGCTCACCGAGCATTTTTCGACTGTGGACAACTTCTTCAGCTCATTAAAATGGAAGAGAAAGAAAGCCACATGGCAAGGACCCTGTGCCGAATGTGACACTTTCGACTTGTGTGACAAGTCCAACAAACAGCAGTTCGAGGCAAGCTGATGCACATCCACGAGCAAAGAGACGCTTTGCTGACCAAGACGAGGAAGGCGATCCAAGAGATGAGAACCAACAACCAGAAGGATGAGAACTGAGAGCCATGAGAGGAACTGAGAGCCATGAGAGGCATTATAATTTGTAGGCCTGTTGGAGACGAAAACTCGCAGTAGGCCCTATAGGAACCGAACTGTGAATGGAGTTTTGAGCAGTTTAGACACTTCTCAAAAAAAGGCAGGGTGTCAGACTTGACTGCACAGACTCATGTAGACCAGACATGTCATGATGGCATGAGAGAACACTACCGCAGCGGCTTCGCCACTGTGTTTGACGTTTTGGGAGAGTCTCAACCAGAGTGGTCTTGGTTGACTTCTTTGCTGGTTCTTGTACTTAGAGGAGCCTGCTTTGTCTTTGGACTGTGCAGCTCAAGAGTCAGAGAGTTGTGACTTGTTTTGGCTACGTGAACGCTTCGCTGAAAGCCTCAATGCTGGGCTTTTGGTTCAAGAGCGGGACTGAGAAAGGACTGCTGCGCTGTCCGTGTGTTTTCACAGTCCCAAGGAACGTGTGTGGTTGCTGCTTGGCAGTGGTAGACTGCACAGTTCTCACCATTGTTCTTATGTGTGACGGTTGGCTCAGACCTTGCATCGCGCCTTACTAGCAAAACAAATGTTGGTTGGCAGTGGCTGTGGTGAAAATGAAGTGGTTCTCATAATCTTGCTGATTTATGGAAACACGGGAAGGGGTGAAGGAAGGCTGGGGGGCACCACGTTCCAGACCTTGGTTCCTGAGCGAGCTCCTCCATTCCGTGGGACAGGTGTTTCTCTGTGTCGCATTTTGGTGCTTTTGTCCAGTCGACAAAAATGGTGGAGCGCCCATGTCTGCGACCTTAGGACCGGGTGTTACTGGTGTTCACACAAGATATGTATGGTGTGCCTCCACGCTTTCTTTCTTTCTTTCAGCATATGTGGGGTGTTTTCCGCCCCATCCCAATTGGCCTTCCGTGCAACACACACAGCCACCTAACAGAGGGGAACGCCCCTTCCAAAGGAAGACGGGGCGAAGTAAAGACAGGGCTCACTACTGCTAAAAGGAGGTAGGGAGAGGGAGAGAAAGGCGGAAAAAACGAAAATGTGCCAGAAAAAAAATGCAAGGATGATAGGAGGGGAAAACTCCTGGGGCAACAGAGCCGTTCACCTATCAGCTAGTCGGAGAAACCATAGGAAGAAAACGAGATCGGTCCCTAGCTGAGACCGAACGAACGAAGATTCGGTCCACTCCCGACTTGCAGAATGAACATGGACAAATTGTGTGGACAGTATGGATCACATTGGATTCACTTTTGCTTCCCTTCTCAACTTTCAGTTTTCAGCTTTAGAGAGGCAACACTCCCTCTCAAGCGGCAGCAAAAAGGGGCGAGGCGGAGGTGGATGAGAGTAATTGAACATTGCCTCAATGACCAAACTCACCATAAACGCTGATCCAAGCTATATTTCGCCACCAGAGATCTCACGCCGCATTTCGCACGGCACTTTCGAGACGCATGTCCAAGCCGAACACCAAGTCCGTGCTTGGCACATGGATCGTGGATGTGCTTCGATGGATGCAGCCATGTTTCTCCGGCTGGAAAGCGGAAACAGCATCAAGCGGTATCAAGCGTATCACAAATTTTGTTCCCACACGTCCTCCACCCTGAAGGTCTCCGAGAATCCCAAGAATCTTATGAGAAACTGTCAGAAGCGCCTAAAAGACCAGAGACACGTCCTGAAGAGGAGATCTGAAGTTCAACATTTTTTCGCGTGCTGCTCAAATGATGCGACGTGGAGCCATGGTGGGCCATCCCGCAGTCTCATTCCGGTTGTGGCAGGTGAGAAGACAGTCCACAGTGAAAGCTAGGTGGTGGTTTGAGAGATTTTACTTTCAACCTTTACTTGGGATGATTGAACCCACTGACTAATATTTTGTCATAGCGGGCACTCCTGGCAGTGCAGTTTTCTCGTAAATTTGAGTTCTTTTGAGTCAACATTTGTCAAGAAAACTGCACTGCCAAAAATGGCTGTACAACAGTTGCATCCAGCAGGAATGCCTGACCAATTGACAAAATATGAAATATGTCAAAAAAAAACAGAAACAACAAAAAACACCAAAATAAAAAACATATATACTTCAGAGAGTCTTGACTTGACTGAAACCCCCGCAGAGGACAAGCCTCTGAACACATGTTTCTTTGTTTTTGTTTGTTTTTGTGGTATTTGTCCACAGGGTCGAACATTTTCCACAGAGTGCTCTCCTGGTAGTGCAGCTTTCTTGACACTTGTCAAGTTTTCTTGCAAGTTTCAACATTTGTCAAGAACACTCCAGGAGGGCGCCTGTTAAGATTTGTCAAGACAACTACACTGCAAGGAGGGCACTCTGTTAACCTTTGTCAAGAAAACTGCACTGCCAGGAGTGCAGTCTGCAGAAGATTCTGCACTTTGTGGACAATTCTTGAAGAAAACAAGCTAAAACACACAAAAAATACAATGTTTTCAGACGTTTTTCCTCTGTGGGAGGGTTCAGTCAAGACTCTCATTTAAAAAACCACATATGTGTGTTTTCTCAAGGTTTTTTGGTTTTGCACCATGGGGCATGTATTTATGTTTTCCAGAAAAGGGATCGTTTTTCTTTTTTCTTTCAAGTGGCAGATAAATATACATTGCATAACGTTAATGAACACACACATCTCTAAGAAATCTACTTTCCTAGAGATCCAGATGAAAGCTATAAAATGAAAGCTTTCCAACCTTTTCACTATAGAAGTGATCAGTCCCAGAGATCTAGAGGCAAGTTTGTGAATAGCACTAAATAGAATATATATTCCCAGAGATCCTTTCTTTTGAAATACACAGCTTCTATTCTATACACAATCTTTAAACAAATGATCATTCCCAAAGATCTAGGGGACAGCTTTTGAAATGCACGTTTTTATATTAGGCTTGAATATAGAAGTGATCAATCCAAGAAATCTAGGGAACCGCTTTTGGAATTCACACTTACAATGTAAAAGGCATTTTTAACTATAGACGTGATTATTCTCAGAAACGAAAAAGTAAGCTTTAAAACAATTGCTTATATACATGGCTTTTTAAATATGGAAATGCATATTCTCAGAGATTTATAGGAAAGCTTTTGAACAAAAAGGCTTTCAACTATAGCTTTTCAATGTCAATATATATATATAATACATATATATATATTTCCAGAGATTAAGAGGACAGCTCTTGAAGTAGCAGCGGTTAAATATTTTGTTATAGAAGTGACCATTCCAGAGATCTAGAGGAACACTTTAGACGTAGAAACCTTTATACAAAGCTTCTTAATATAGAAATGATTATTCCAGATATTACTTGAACAAATCTATTTGCCTACTCAAAAGCAGTGTTTTGACCTAGTTCCCAGCACTCCCAGGGCAAGAAAACACTGTAAAGCACATGATTTTATAGCATTTTGTCTTAAATTTACACCCCCAGCAACACCTGCTCTCTGGAGTTAAATTAGACTTGAACAATAATCATGTTTGAATTAAACACGAACTAAATTAGAATGAAAATTGTTTCTAAAATTGAATTTTAATAAAATGAAATTAGGTTTGAATGGAAGTATATACATTGGATTTGAATTAGTTTTTTCCTTTCTAAATTAGTATTGAATTTGAAAGAAGCTTGAATAAAGATGTAGGGTTGAATTAGAACTGAATTAGAATTAAACTACAATTGAATTCGGTATATATATATATAGATTAATATAAATAGTCCATTTGTCATAGCAAATGGGCCAAAAAGCGCACTGCCACAGCTGCCCGCTCTCTATCTTTTCGGGTGGTGCTTTTGGTGGGTGTGGATGACCCTTTGAGGTGGATCATGTATTCTGATGAGTTTTAACATGCTTTATCAAACACCTTTGGGATCCTTTGGGAACAATATGACGGCCACTTCGTTTGGCCGCCGTTTGGTGTCGCAGTGCCAGGGGAGGGGTTTGTTATTTTCGGGTGATATGAAACAACATGCCTTGAATCCTCCTGGAGGTGAGCAGGGAGGTGGGGTCAGTGATTGAACCAAGGTGTACGAATTCTTCATGCCCACCTGAAAGCAGAGGGCAGAGGCGGTCAGAGGGTTATTTCAATTTCTGTGCAGGTCAAAGGACGGCGAACAGAACTTGGTATCGTTCTTGGGCACAATCTAGAAATGGACAAGGGGACCCTACTTTGATGCCGCTCATTGCACATGAGATTTGCAGCATTTCTGCATCTTCGACGTACTTTGGTTCCTCCTCCCTTGTGTCGTCATTCGGGACAGGTCTTGAGGTCGATTTCATGGCCCTTCTCGCCTCATTTGGCGGCGCAAGACACCCACCGGATGGGCCGTGGAGCGAAGATGCACACCTTTGGGATTTGGATCGCTCGCACACCCAGCTCCCTTGACATGATTGCTGTGAGTCTACTGCGCTGTAGTCAGTAGTGATGGTGTATTTTTGCATTCTTCAATCTTGAAAGAAAAGATATTTGCACTGTCACTGTGGTCTTGGCTGCCTTGCGTCTAGGCCAGGATATACACAAAGACATGACACCGAGTCTTGCAACACGATGAGGCCTTCAGGCTGGAATTTGCAAGATTTTCGGCTGAAACAGCTTGGCCACTGCTCAACAAGTCAAAGCCATGTCATGGTCTTCTTGTTCTTCTTCCTCAGCTGGTCAAAGCTTTTCGGATGGGCTTTGGAGCAATTCTCAGCTGTACGATTCGGACGAACCAGATGATAGATCCGTGTCCGAATCCATCCGTTGGAGTCCATACCACAGGTCTGAGGAACATTTGCCAAATCATATGAGGCCAGCTAGCATCCGTTTTTGTCAGGATAGCATCCTATCTGAGTTCAGGAATGGCATCCCGCTGGAGGATGTCATTGATGAGCTTTTAAGAGGAGAACTCTTCGTTGAAGACTTTCCACCCATCAGAGTGTTCCTTCGGGATGGCACTGACATTGACGGTGAGATTCAGGGTGACATCAATTTGAGCACAGACACGTACAGCTTGGACAATCGACGGCTGTTCGTCTTCCAGAAATTTGCAGAGCGATCATATGATGAGGCGCCACTTGTGCTTTTGGTTGTTCGCAAGTCGATGTGCAAGTCTTGCTTGATTTATGGATCGTGTACAGTACAGCAGCATGGCACTTCTCCATTTTGAAAGGGTACCACTTGCATTGCTGCAGGTCACCATTCCAGTCGTGTGGATTGATCTTGCAGACGTCGATGAAGACAAGCTTACAACTGACTGCGATGGTGAGGAGATCCGTGTGCGAGGCTTGCCACGTTGATGAAAGCTGAGACTGATTGGATTGCATAATTTTCTGACTTGGGCTTAGGACTTGATTGTTCAAGGTGCAGAAGGATACTACAGTATGTTATATGTTATTGTATAATTAGTGGGGTGAGCGTTTTGTGTCGTGAAACAGGTCACAGCAAGAGCAAAGCTAGTTGAAAGCATCAGAAGCGCCAGTGATTCGAGGTCCGTGCACTTATCGATGAGACGAATGAGGCTGAGCCGAGGTTTTGCCGCAAAGGAAGAGGCAGTGAGAACTTGAGGGTCACATGGAAGAGACCTTTTCTCCAAAGACTTACTGTAGGTTTCACCTCAAGATTCTGGTCCCTTTGCTGATGAGGATGCATTCTGCTGACCAAAAGGTGTGGCCTCATGTACCACTGTCGCCTGGACAAATCTTCCTAGTTTGACACTTCTCTTGGAGAAATCAGATTGCAGATGCCACTCTTTCCTACATCTTACATGATTGTTTTCAAACTACCTTGGAACAAGTTACTAGGCGCGGTGGTGTTTGATCATGATGCCGCATGCTCTCCGAGGCAGAACCCCTGAGCACTGCTAGAGCTGCTAGAGAAGGCAGCCAGGCTATTGATAACCTGGCTGATTGGTGCTGGTTTAACATCAGGTGCGTTCATTTGTGTTCGGACTTTGGATTGGTTTTCCACGCACAGTGCGAAAACGCCACGTATCATCTATGCTACCCTGCGGACCCTGCGGATATGATTTCTGGAAGAAGCAGAAACATGGTGCAGGACATCTTCCGCAGCTACGCAACATATATATAACGTTTATACATTGGTTTCAAGATCATCATCACAGCGCATAGCTTCAAGGCAAAGCCTGCAAATATGTGTTGACTTTTCGTAAATCTGCAAACAACGGTTGTAGAAGCCGTTCAGGGATGTGCAAACAACGTTGTTTGGCATGCAGCATCGAAATCTGGTTCACCAAAAAATGGCGCCTCCCCGGTCCCAGTTGAAGTGTGGTTGGATGATGAATGTTGCGCCACCGGTTCTGGCGAAGTAATTCTCAAACTTGGGTCTCAGACTTGCAGAGTGGCTGACTGTGATTTGAATGTGCTTCTGCTGCTGTTGTGGGTATTTTTGGCGCAAGGCTTGACCACATCGGGTCCCCGTGAACTAAAGGTGAGAGCAGGCTGTGTACATGTTCTTGCATGTTTTGTGAGGGGAACTGAGTTCTAGATTCTACAGGTGGCTGCTATTCTTTGCAACTTGGAACCGTTCCTTCCTCAACTAACTTGGCTTTCCAGCCTCCGAATTGGCCTAGTTCGATGGTTGTGGCAGGTTCTCAGATGGTTGTGTTTGTTGTTGCAGATGCTTCTTTTTGCTCCAAACATGATTCGCAGTTACTTGGTGGACTTTTGCAGTGCGGGACGCCAGTGTGGGTCAGAGCCCAAAACTGGTGGAGGCACTCATAGCTAAACAGGCTGAAGTAAACCAAACAGCTAAAAAGGCTCGGATGAACTGTCTCAAGACTCATGAGTCCTTGACAGTTAACCATAATGGTTTGCCCTTTGGGTTGTCCATCATTTTTGCACAGCTGCCCAAGATTGTGACTTTGGCTCAAGTTGATCAACCGATCATATAAGATATTTATACGACATGCATATTGCTAGTAGTATGCGACCACTCATGGATACGTGCCATTTTCTACGTTTGTGTCCAATTCTGTTTTGGCCATTTGTACAACAGCAGCATGCTCAACAGCAGTTTGAGAAGCACAGGAGCGTACCGAGACTCCATTTTGATTCCGTTTCACCTCATCATGTTGGACATGCGTGAGGCAGTTGGCTCAATCTGCCGTTCTCGAGGGAACCTCTAGGTTCACTGATGTGCAAAATGTCCGACATTCGTGGTAAAGGCCCTATTTTTGAGTGCATTACAGTCATGTTGTCATCCTGAACTGCAAATGAAGTAGAAATCCATGCATCGGCCCTTATGTTCTTGGTTGCCAGTGAAACGACATCAGTCATTTCACTTTGATTCAAGGATCGGGAGATGCTGGAATGAATGCAAACAAAGTCATCATGCGGAGTGTGTTGCTGATCTGTTTGTGGCTTGAAAGTTGAACTTGACACCTTTGCAAACTGCAGGCCGATAGGATCACCACTCAGTCGAACACCGAAAGCCGCTGTGGCGCGAAAAGCGATCGGACCGCCAAACCGACAAATCAATTCATAGCTTCCCTGAACATTTCTCAGCATTTCAAGGCTTGTGGTCCACAAGCTGTGTGGAATTGGTCGGGCTTATTCAAACAGCTTCCCAGGGTGGAGACCATTGCTACTAGGTTGGAGGCCATCACTCATAGGTTGGAGGCCATGACTCGTAGGTTTAGTGCGCAACAACTCTCAGGAGCTCCGCACGAGCTCCGCACGATGCTTCGTGCCTGCGCACGAGGTAAATTTTCCACCTCGAGCCAGGGCTCTGGAGTATTCTGGAAGCCAATGGTATATCTCACGTCCAGCGACTTGGGCAAATGAGATAAACCTCAAAAGGCCAGAAACTGTGAAAATGCGAGTCAGCCTTTTCTGATGTCTTTTTGTAACTTTTTGTGGTCAGAATGTGTCAAAACTATATCAATATCTTTGTAAGTATATATGTATCACAGGATAACATAGCCCTCACAATTCCTGCAGTCCAAGGTAGCGAAGCTGGCAGTAGTACCGGCTCGCAGCACAATATGCTGCATCCGCGAAGGAGCGGTGAATGAGCACGAGGGGTTTCTGTGTGCGACGCAAGGAACTTGAATTCGTTGCTTTTTCGTCCAAGGAAGTCCGCTGCAAGTATGTCAAGATTTGCCAGAGAACTGTATAACTCCCTATTCTAGTAATGCCAAGATCAGAATAGCTGGCAGGCACTGACACGAGGTTCAGGTTCTTCAGAGCGATAGGTGAGCTCTTTCTGACAGACAGGTATGGTACAATCATGAAGCAATTTGGGACAATGTAGACCAAAAACAAGGTATAAATGAGTCATGTTCAGTCCATCTCGAGGTCTTTTTTGAGACAACATAGCTCCTTTGCGTTTGGACCACGTAGCCTTCTTCGGTTTTGAGAGACCTCCTTTCAGATGCCCCGTCGACATGGCGACGCACACAGCGCAGGGGCCAGCGGCTGGCGGCGGAGAGATCTCAAGGTCTGGAGTCCAAGGAACTCGTGCCCAGCGCGAAGCGAAGAAATGGCTGACCCCAGACCTAAGAGCGATGGCCTTCAACCTACCGGCGATAGCCTCCAACCTTGAGATCAAGAACTGGAGTTCACCAAAACCTGGAGTTCGTTCAGTTCGTTCGAACGATATTTGGCCGCAACTTCCGAGTGAGTGAACGACCTGGGACCTGCAGGGAAGCCTCCTTTGTTGTTTGGATTTTTTTCTTTTTCCCCGCGCAAATCCGACAGGTGGAAAGTTCGGTTCAGTGTGATTTTCCAGGGAAATGGAACACAGACCAACAAATATGAACCAAATCCACTTCGGCTTTTTTGATTCTTCATTCGCCTTGGGGGAGAATTTCTGCAAAACTAGGAACAAGGACGCTACTAGGAGCAAAGGGCATCGCTACTAGTAACAAGAAGCTACTAGGGGCTCCTGGCCGTATTGCTAGGAGCAAGGACGCTACTAGGACTGGAGCGCCGAGCGCGACCAGAGCGCCCTCTTCGTCTCTTCCGACCGTTGGAGGCAGCGAGGCCGACAGCTTCGACATCGACGAGCGGAGATTTTTTAAGCCTTCGAGGCATGAAGCCTGGGTTTGGGGTCGTTTTCGACATGGATGAAGTTTTCATGAAATCTATACTGTACAAAGTTTATTTTAAACTTTTCAATTGAGGATGGTTGATGATGCGATGGATGATGCGATGGATGATGGATGTGTGGTGAGTTTGGAGTTTTTATACTCTCAGAAAATCAGTAGAAGACATTAGCAGACAAAAAATGCAAAAAACACATGGCAAAAGCATGCCTGCAGGGGCCCACGCAGTCGCTGCGAGTCAAGAAGTGACCCAAACAATTGGCACCGAAACAGTCGCAACCAGCCGAAACACTCCCGGCCTGGTATGTGCAATCCGCAGTGTGCAATCCGCAGTGATCAGCGTGCATCAGTGATTCGTAAAATGGAGGCTTTCAATGCCTTTCCGCGGTTGTGTATCACACGTGGGCATTCCTCTCTCGGTGCCGCTGTTGTCACGTTCGCACCGCCAGTTGCACACGCTGCGGGTTGTTTGTCACGTCGTTTCCGCCGTCTGCGCAGGCAAAACGTTCCGCACTTCATCTTTGGAGACAGAGACTGGGCGAAAGCAAACAGTGGGTTGTTGTTGCGAGTTGACAACGAGGGAGTCTTTTAGGGCGATGCTGCTAGAATCAAACGGTTTCCGGGCTTTTCGGGTCACAACAAACAGCATGGAACTCCTGACATTTGAGGCAGTGCTTCTGGGAGCAGCCAGGGAGCACCTCGAATCCAAAGTCATGCTGCAAGGACTGAAGATGAAACATATTGATCTTCTCAGGGTCCAGCTTCTAGGTTGGAGGCCATCGCTTGTAGGTTGCACCATGAAGTGACCAAGTCCAGATAAGTCCAAATAAGTCAATGGACCGGCGGACCGACCGGCCGAATGACCCCTTGGACCGTCGCTCGGTCACAGATCGCTTGTTGCCTTCGCAGGATACGCAAGCGGGATCAAAAGCACCAATGGCAGGAGAACCCTCCAGGTGGACGGGGACGGGGCGGCGCTGTTGCGGCCGCCACTGGCGGCCAGTGGTTGCTGCGTTCCATGAATCTGTCAACCTTCTCAGCCATATAAACTAATAATTAGAATGCAGCAATACAGCAATAGACCCAGCAACATCCTAAGCAAGTTTCGGCAGGATTTTGTTTGTGAAAGACTGTGGCTTTTGGTGATTTCCTGTGATGGTCTCTTCAGACAGGCTTGGAACAGGGCAGAACAACCAAGGAACAGTCGCCAAAAGAGCAAATGTGCTTGCTCCCTTACCAACGCTTACTGGAGTTTAAAGGTTTCTCAGCGTATGGTCCTCAGGGTAATAAGCACGGCTCTGACTTCCATGATCTTTACCTAACTTACGCTGCCTTTGCACAATGTTGCTTTGAATGCGGGAGCCATGATATGAAGTATTTACATTTTATCATGCGTGAGATCGCTAGAGGTACCATCATGAAACAACCTTGGTACCTAGGTACCTAATGGTACCATCATAAGAGATCTCTTTTTCCTTCGCCGCCTTTCGTTTCGCACAGGTGGCTATCATCAGGAACAGGCAGGGGTTCGTTGTTCTTCCGTCGTAGTGACTGTTCTTGTGGAACAAGTTGGTCCACTCCAAGTGCCTTACTAGTAGTAACAAGAAGCTAGTAGTAACAAGTGCCACGCTTCTAGTAACAAGTGCCTTACTAGTAGTAACAAGAAGCTAGTAGTAACAAGTGCCACGCTTCTAGTAACAAGTGCCTTACTAGTAGTAACA